CTTACGTGAGCCTATTGCATAAGAGGGATTTGGGGGCTCCTGCTTTGCCTTGCCCCCCTTTTTCTAGAATAAAGACCTTGTTTTTCCCAAGTGTTTCACTCGGGCGCTGGCGGAGGTTGAAGCAGCCCCTTACTACGCTCCTTGCTGATCGCGGGGTCAGCGGGAGCCGCAGGGCATCGAGCCTAAGAAGGGCTTATCCCTGTATTTTTACAGCTTCCCAGGGCCCTGAGCTCAGGGGTTACCAGCCATCAGCTGAGCCGTGGTGTGTGCGAGGGCTCAGGCACGCACGTCCTCTGCTCCAGGGGCCGGGGCACCGAGCTGCGGCCGCTGCTGAGCTGCTTTTCCAGCAAGGCTTGGCTGTCCCTGCTGCCTGCTGGTGACAGTCCCTGAGGGTTTGCCCTGCACCTCCAGCTCCCACTGTGGTGATGCTGTCAGAGCTTCCCCGTAGAAACCAGCCCTTTGGGGCCAGAGCTGTCACAGCCCTGCCAGAAACAACACACCCGGGAATAACGGGGTCACGCAGGGCTGTGTGTGTGCTGGAAACACAGGGTGGAATCACAGAGTATCCTGAGTTGGGAGGGACACACAAAGATCAAGTCCAGCTCCTGGCCCTGCACAGGCACCCCAACAGTGTCCCCCTGTCCCTGAGAGCCTTGTCCAAACTCTCCTGGAGCTCTGGCAGCCTTGGGGCTGTGCCCACTGCCCTGGGGAGCCTGGTCAGTGCCCAACCACCCTCTCGGAGAAGAAGCTTTTCCTGATATCCAGCCTAAACCTGCCCTGACACAACTCCAGTCATTCCCTCGGGTCCTGTCCCTGGTCACCAGAGAGAAGAGACTTTGTTTCCCTGTGGCACTTTTACCTCATCAGCCTGGATTTGAAAACACTTCTCAGCCCTTGGTTTCAGTTTTCATTCTCATCATCCCGCAAATCCTGTTTCTCTGAGGAAGAATAAAGGGAAAACTAACCTTATTAGGCACATCCTGCCAACATGTCCGGGAGAGATGCTGCTTTGAATGAGTTTCCCCAAAGTCTGTGTGTTTTCCAAGCGGGGGTTTGCTCTCTGAGGGTCCCTGTGAATGAGGCTGTGGCTCAGGGTGCCCTTTTCCTTGGCATTGCAGGTCAACCTCAACGATTCCCACAATCAGATGGTCGTCCACTGGGCAGGAGAGAAGAGCAACGTGATCGTGGCCTTGGCCAGAGACAGCCTGTCTTTGCTGGGTCCCAAAAACAGCGATGTGAGTAACACAGCCTGGGGCACCTTCTGGGCCAGGCAGGGTGGTGGTGGCTGCTGAGCTTCAGCCTGACCTGCTGAAACAAAAGAAAGGCCCATGAGTTTGAGTTCAGAGGCACAAAATAAATAATTCCACATCTTCTGTGTTGCCCCGTGGGTTCAAAGCAGGCTCAGGCAATCTCTAAGGCTCCCCCGCCTTGTAGTTTGATGATTTTTTTACCAAATCTGCCAGAAGGGAAACCAGAACTTTGCACTCCTCACTCTGGGGCTTCTCCACTGCAGGTTTACGTGTCTTACGACTACGGGAAGAGCTTTAAGAAGATTTCGGAGAGGTTCAGCTTCGAGGGGGGGAACAGCAGCGAGGTGGCCATCGCCCAGTTCTACCACAGCCCGGCCGACAACAAGAGGGTGAGGGGGATGTGGCACCTGGGACAGCCAAATCCTTCTTCTCCACACTTTGCCCTCCCAAAGGCTCCCCTGGGGTGTGTACCTTTGTGGCTGCTGGTGTGATTACTGCTCTGACCTCCTGCTTTCCCTCTTCCTTGTCTGCTCCTCCACTCCCAGTATATCTTCGTGGACGCCTTCGCCCCGTACCTCTGGATCACCACCGACTTCTGCAACACAGTTCAGGGCTTCTCCATTCCCTTCAGAGCAGCTGATCTCCTCCTGCACAGCAGGAACCCCAACCTCCTCCTGGGCTTCGACAGGTCTCATCCTAAAAAACAGGTGAGCACTTCTGCTGAGGTGGGAAACCGGCATCCTGCCTCCGCCCTGCTGTGACATTCCCCTGGCCTGTCACTTCCCCCCCAGCTGAGGGTCACCCTGCCTTGTGCCAGGGCCATGTGGGTTCATGCTTTGGCCGTTCAGGGACTCTGATCTCAGATTGGTGCCTGCAGAGCTGTCCCAGATTGACCAGGACACCCCCTTCCCTGCAGTCTCTCTGGTTCCTGAGCTCTGGAGCAGCGAGGATAGAGTACCTGCAGGGTGGTTGCCTTATTTCCCATCCCTTTTCCTTCTCTCATTCTGCTCCTTCATCCACATTGCTCCTGACTGTGTTATCACCCCACTTCTCATGGTCATAAGTCTCCCCAGAGCTCTGGCAGCCGAGGCAGGATGACCTCTGCAGTGTTTCATGTGGGCATGTGGTTTGGCTTTGGACCTGGCATAACAAACTGCTTCCTGAATACAAACACGTCTGTTTTCCCTGGAGCTATTGGCTAAAGACTGTAAATAGTTACAGCACCTTCAGGTAGACACAGGCAGCATAAGGAAAACCTGGAGGTGAAAGAACCAGGGTAAAACACACACAGTCTGTGCTGTTTCCAGTCTGGTCATAGCAGGGTGCTGCTGGGATGCCTTCCAGGCATCCAGGGATGTCAGAGCTGGGCAGAAGGAAAAGAAAAAGATCCTATCACTCCTCTTGACCTTGACATTCCTGATGCTTGCAGATTTGCAGCAGCAGCATGTCGCTCTGCTTGGGGGTTTCTCACCTCTGAGGGGGGTGTGAGCTCTGCCCAGATATTTCCCCTTGCCATCGCACTCCACAAGGACATTATAGCAAGTTAATTTTATTTCTGAGTTACTGTAAAACCAGGTGGGGTCAAGAGACAGTGGGAAATCCTTCTGGACAGGCTAAAGGACAGTTTTTTCCTGTTTGGGTTATTCTGCTGCTGCTAGAAAGGTTGCTGCTGCTCCAGGAGCTGCCACAGAAAGAGAAGTCATGAGAGTAGTGATGGATGGATGCAGGTCTCCCCTGCCTGAGATTGGGTGTCTTAAAAGGTTGGGTCTGTTTGTGTCCCAGTCCCACTGGCATCTTTGTCATTGCAGATGACATTTCAAATCCCACCTTTGTCATTGCAGCTCTGGAAATCAGACGATTTTGGCCGGACCTGGATAATGATTCAGGAACACGTGAAATCCTTTTCATGGTATGTATCCCACCCGTGTACCCCCAGCTCCTGTCTCCTCTCATTCCTCACCTCCTGCCTCATTTGCTGCCCCGTGCAAACCAAGGAACCAGGCACCAAGGCATGCTCCAGCCCTGCCCCCTGCTCCCCTCACCCAGCAGGGACCCTGCGCTGTGGGGATGTGGCACTGTGGGGTGACAAGGGACAGCCACCCACGCAGACACCCAGGGGTGCTGCACGTTCCCCTCTGGAAAGAGGACACCCACTGCCTTCTGCATCACTCTGTGAGCACAGAGGTACCACCACCACCTCGTTTGTCCTCCCCAGGGGGGTTGAGCCCTACGACAAGCCCAACACGGTGTACATCGAGCGGCACGAGCCCTCGGGGGCTTCCACCGTCATCCGCAGCACCGACTTCTTCCAGAGCCGGGAAAACAAGGAGATAATCCTGGAAGACGTGGAAGACTTCCAGCTCAGGGACAAATACATGTTTGCAACCAAGTCTGTGGTGAGTGTGACGTGAGGAATTCACTGCTGAGGGGGAGGGCTGGTGATTTGGTACAGAACTACTGTGGCCACAGCGGGGCAAGAGCGTCTGCCAGGGGGTGATGCTGCTTATGCTGCACCTCACAGCTTTCAGACCTCACGTTTGGCTTGTCACAGAGGTGTCACCAGGCTGCCTGCAGCTACCATCCCCCCCCCCAGGCTTGCACTGCCATGGACAAAGCAGTGCCTGCCCCTGGCACTCGAAGCAATGGGGTTTCCATGCTCCTGCCTCCTGGCAGCCTGGGCAGAGAAGTAGGTCAGCCTGCAAAGTGCTGGGACCCGGGGAAAAACCACAGGATGCCTGGGAAGGATGTTTGGGGTGGGGGTGGCAGGGGAAGGGGGGATGTGGCTCAGCAGCTCCGTGGTTGGGAGGCCGCTTGTCAGAGAAGATTACCATCAAACGTGGACTGGGTCCAAGTAGCCTAATGTGCTGCAGCCTGGAAAGAAAGCTGGATTTCCAGTTTGCTTTCCTAAGAAAAGAGGATGTGAATGAGTTTTTACAGTTCTTGACCAGTTTCAGACAAACCTGAAAGGAAAGCAAGAAGGTGTTTGTGCTCTCTCTGAGGGCAGCTCCTTTCTAGATGATCAGAAACGCAACGACAGAGGGATAAAGTCCTGATCCTTCTAGAATTCAAGGAGCAGTTTTCTAGGGTTGCTTTCCACCCCTGAGTGTTTAAAGAAGGAACCTTTTCTGTTTAGGGGTGACTGCTTGCAGAACCACACCGAGTTTCCTAGGCAGTGTCACCTCCAGCCACCTGAGCGGGCACAGTGGTGCCCAGCACTGGCAGGGGGACGTGTTTGCAGAGCAATTTCAGTTTCTCAGGAGTCTCTCTTGCAGGTAGTACAGCCTGTAACTCCCAGGGCCTGGCCCCTTGGCTCTGTGCCCGGTCTGTGGTTTGCAGGAGATTTTATCTGGGCTTGTTGGTGGTGTTGGGTGAAACGCTGGAGGTGGTTTGTGTCTCTGCAGAGAAGCCTCTGGGCTCGCAGGCAGCACAAGGCGAGTTTGAACTCAGTTTGGGGGTTCTTTGGAGCTTTTTCTGCTTCTGGAGCACTCAGGGGTCGCAGGGGGAAGCACGTCCTGCTTTCCCCTGCAGCTCTAATGACTGGTGTTACACTAAACATCAGTAAAATCACCCAAGGCAAGACTGGTTGGGAACACTGAGACAGAGGAGGCTGGCTGCAACCCCCTGAGTTGGAAATTACAGTCTCAGGTCTGAAGTCAGGCACTTGCCTCAAGCACTTGCTGCAGCAGGAGCAGCCCTGGGGAAAGGACAGGCTGGGTGGCAGAGGCTCCCAGGGCTCTGACTTCTGCTCCTTTCCGTGGGAGGCACGGTTGCTTAGTGATACAGAGCCTGGGAGAAACCAGGCCGCTTATTTTTGGAGCCTAAATCTGGGTTTAGGTTCTTACCACTGCCATCCTGTACGAAATAGGTTGCCCCCCAGCTTTTTGCTCTTTTGGAATCGCGCTGGCACCTTTCATTTTGTGCAAATCTTTTTTTTAAAAAAAAGGAAGGAAAGAACAGGCTGCTCTGCAGAAAAAGGAGGAATTAAAACCAGCCTCCTCACCCCCACCTGACTGAGCAGAAAGGGCAGTTTGCCTCCTTGCTGAGCACTGGCTGTGGCAGTTTAAACCCTGAGCGGGGAGCGCTGCTCCCATCGTCGGTCCCAGCGGCTGCCACGCTTCAGCCTCGTGCAGGGAAAGGGAAGCCCTGGGCACTGGGTTGTTGCAGTCTCTGGAAATAAGGGGGATTTGGGGGATGAGAGGCACTCCTAACACATCCCTGTGCTCTGCACAGCGTTTGCTTGGCAGCTCAGAGCCACCCTCAGTCCAGCTCTGGGTTTCCTTCAACCGCAAGCCGATGCGCGTGGCACAGTTCGTTACCAAGCATCCAATTAAGGTAAGTGGTGCTTTCTGAGCAGCCTCCTCTCTCCCTCCCGTGCCAAGGACACCCTCCAATATCAGCAGCAGTTTGCTGCCTTTCACCAGACACTGCAGGAGTGGGAAGGGACCTCATATAACCCTGCTGGGGGGTTTGGCTGAGGGAAAGCTCATGTCAGGGGGATTGTGTGGTTTACATGGAGTACTTGGACAGTCAGCCAGCTTCCTCCAGCACTGGGGGTGGAGGCTGGCATAGCAAAGCCCAGATACCCAGAGAGGGGCTGATCCCACTGCTCTGACTCTGCTTTTGAGGACCTTACCTCCTCCCATGGTGTGGGGTGCAAGCTCACTGAGCACGCTCTGGCTCCTCTGGCACGGCCTGTGGCATCCAATTCTCTGCAGGGGGAGGATGCCCAGGGGACAGACAGGCTTTGCAAAGGGTCTGTGATCCATGATCCAGATATGCTGAGGTGTCCCCAGGCTGGTGAGGATGAAGAAGGGCACGAGAAGGAAGTTCTTGGTGTCAGACAGAGCAGTTTGGCACCCCAGCCTCAATGGGTCCAGGCAGACAGATCCATCACTGGTGGGGCTTTGCTCCCAGTGCTGCTTCTGGGGGGCTTTGCCAGTGGGTTGTGCAGGGCAGAGGACAGGAATCACTGTGGGAGAAACACGAAAGAGAAAAGCAAAGTGAAGATTTTCTACTTGTTGAGTGGAAAAAATACCAAAGGGTGGGGGCAGAGTGCTTTCAGCTAGGGAAGAGGAAACTAAACCCTGCCTCTCTGCACACACAAATGAAGCCTGTTATTTATGTCCCAAAGGAATATTATGTTGCTGATGCCTCGGAGGACCAGGTGTTTGTGTGTGTCAGCCACGACAACAACAGGACCAACCTCTACATCTCGGAGGCAGAAGGCCTGAAGTTCTCCCTGTCTCTAGAAAACGTGCTCTACTACAGCCCGGGGGGAGCTGGGAGTGACACCTTGGTCAGGTAACGTGGGACACACCCCGAGAACGTTGGCCAAGGGCTGTGTCATTTCTGGCTGTGTTCGATGGAAGAGCCGACAGCTCCCCAGACACACAGAGGCTGGTTTATGGTTTCCCCCCAGGTACTTTGCCAACGAGCCCTTCGCAGACTTCCACCGCGTGGAGGGCGTGCGGGGCGTGTACATCGCCACGCTGCTCAATGGCTCCTTCAGCGAGGAGAACATGCGCTCCGTCATCACCTTCGACAAGGGTGGCACCTGGGAGCTGCTGCAGCCCCCGGCACAGACACACTACGGGGAGCACATCGACTGCCAGGTACCACAGGGGTGGTAAATCCCCCCCCCCCTCCAAAAAAAAGCGGGCAGAAGGGCCCTCGGGGAGGTGGTTTGGTGGAGGTCGTGGTGGCGGCGCGGGGTTGGTGGTCGGGCCTGGTGATCTCAGAGGTGCTCTGCGACCTTCCAAAGAGGCTGAAGGATCAATCCCACCACGGAGTCCTTTCCAAGAGGAGAGTGCACCTGGGATGGATGGACAGAGTGGGGAATGAGAGGCTGGAAAGCAGTGCCGGGAAAGGGCCCTGGGGGTGCTGGTGGGTGCCCAGTTGGCCCTGAGCCAGCAGTGCCCTGGCAGCCAGGAGGACCAAGCCTGTCCTGGGGGCCGGACCAGGGAGGGGATTGTCCCTCTCTGCTCTGCCCTGGGGTGGCCTCACCTGCAACACTGGGGCAGTTTGGGGGGACACAATGGAAGGAAAGGGTCGAGCCATTAGAGAGTGTCCCCAAAGGAGGCAACGAGGATGGGGAAGGGCCTTGATTTGAAGCCGAGTGAGGACACTGAGGGCACTTGGTGTGTTCAGCTGGAGAAGAGGAGACTGAGGGGAGACCTCACTGCAGTTCCACCTTCCTGGGCAGGGGCAGAGGAGGGCAGGCACTGAGCTCTACTCTGGGGGCACCAGGGACAGCACCCAGGGAATGGCTGGAGCTGTGTCAGGGCAGGGTCAGGTTGGATCTCAGGAAAAGGTTCTTCCCCCAGAGGCTGGTTGGGCACTGCCCAGGCTCCCCAGGGCAGTGGGCACAGCCCCAAGGCTGCCAGAGCTCCAGGAGGGTTTGGATGATTCTCTCAGGCACAGGGTGTGACTGTTGGGAATGCTTCTGTGCAGGACTAGGAACTGAATTTAGTGATCCTTGTGGGTCCCTTCCAACTCAACACATCCTGTGATTCTTTGACTGCTCACACAGTGATTCCGTGACTGCATGGAACGAGGGCACGGGCAAGTGTGGGAAGGAGGTTAATGCCACTGTGGTTTGCTTTCCCAGCTTTCCCAAGGCTGCTCTCTCCACCTGGCCCAGCGCCTGAGCCAGCTGCTGAATTTCCAGCTCCGCAGGATGCCCATTCTCTCCAAGGAGTCAGCACCAGGACTGATCATCGCCACCGGTACCTCTCCCCTTCCCTTGGCTTGGGGTTGGTTGTTGTCAGGACACGAGGAACTTGGCAGCATCCAGTTTGTACAAGCAGGTTCTAAAATGCAATTAAATTGTGCATTTTGCTGTCCTTTCTCTGCTGCAGTCCCCATCCAGTAATTACAGTGTGAACATTTTACTGCAGCACAGTGACGTGAGAAACCTGCTCTGTTCTGATCCTCTTCCCTGATCCACGTGAAGGGTTCCTTGAAGATTCAGAAATTCCTGTTTGTCTCGCTCTTTTACTGAAGAACACACACATTTCTGTTTAATCATGTTTACAGCCATGGGTTTTTTCCCCATCTGCTTTTAAAACCGTGTAATAGTATTTAAAATAATTTGCTTTGGAAGGGATTAATTTATAGTGTGAAAAATCAGCTCCTTAATCAGAGATAAAAATAGTTTTGGAGGTGTCTGGCTTCATTTTTAGCAATCACTTTGCATTCCTCAAGAAGAATGATTTCTCCCATTTTCCTAGGCTCCGTTGGCAAGAACATGGCAAGGAAAACCAATGTCTATGTCTCAAGCAGTGCTGGAGCAAGGTGGAGAGAGGTAAGGCTGCTCTTAGGCTCACCAGATCAGCCAAGGTGGTGGTGGAGCAAGTAGAATGTTGGCAGCAATAAACTTAAACGAGATTAAAGGTGACCTCCATGTGAATCCAAGAGCTGGAAGGTGCTGAATATTCCTTAAAACCAGACAAAGTGGTGTTTAGATGAAGGACCAGGCGTGGGTTGGTTGAAGGTGAACCTCTTGGTGTAGGTGGTGGATTTAAAAGCAGGAAAGCTCTCTCCTCTATTTCTCCCTTTCAGCTGGCAGGATTTGCCCTCAGTGTGGGTCATCTGGCCTGTTTTAGATGGGGCTGCCAGCAAGGACTTTGTATGTGAGAGTGTCTGGAGAGGCTCCGGCGCCTTCCAGAAAAACGGGATGTTGCCCTCGGTTTATGGGGAGTTTGATTCTGTTTACTGAGTGGATATTCTGGTTTGTGGCAGTATTTGTGGTCTGCCTGTGCACTCTGCAGCCAGTGTAATGTGGTATTTCAACATCTGCAAGCTATTTAATCCTGGGAATTAAGCAGCCTCCTTCTCCTCCTGCAAGTGCCGTGTGGTCTGGGTGAGGTCTGGGACACACCACGGGTCTGGCTGCTGCCAAAGTGACCGTGGTTCTCCAGAATCCTGTGGGGAGCAGCCGTGGGGACCCTTGCAGTTGGGTATCCAAAACTAAGACTTTCAGGTGCCAGCCTCCCCTGGCTCAAAAGGATTGCCTTGAAGAACAATTCAAACGTGCCGAGGAAGCGCTGACCCGCAGGGAGCAGCACCAAGCCCCTCATTGATCTGGGCCCTTTGTATCCTGAGCAAAGGTGCAGAATGACCCAGCACTGGAGTTCCTCAGCTGAGAAGCAGCAACACAGCTCCTTCCCCCCAGCTTTGGCAAGCAGCAGCTCATTGCTCTCCACATCACTGGTGTGGTCCCACAGCACAGAGAAGAAAGAAACAATACATCCAGTGCCCTGTGTAAGAATGTCCCCAAGCATGACAGCACGTCCTGTGAGCAGAGTCAGGCATGGACATGCTGCCTGTTTTCACCCAGAGTTGCACTGGATAGGAAACCAAAGGTGGTTTTGTGGTGGAGGTGAGCATGAAATACGAGTTCCTTTCCACGGGAGGGATGTATGAATTGTCTCCAGGGCTTGTTTCTGCTTGCCATGGCCCTACTTCTGTCTGAACATTCAGAAGACCTTCCACAGCACAAGAACCAACATTTCTCTGCAGTTTGAGAAGGTATTGAGCCGCTGCCAAGTGCTGGGAAAGCCTCTCAGACATGACAAATGAGGGGGAGCGATGGACTCTGGTTTCATGTCATGGCACTTCTTCCATTGATTCTTTCCCTGCACCCAGTGCTGGAGGAGCAGAGTCCAGGGCTCAGTGCAGCTCTCACACTCAGCTCTTAGGGAAACTGGGCTGGCTGCTCTCATCTGCAGATGTTGTCCCATAAACACTTCAGTCTCTGGTGCCTCCAGACACTTGGTTTGGCCCAGGTTGAAACATCAGCTCAGGTCAGGAGGTGTTTTTCTGACAAAGCACACTTTCCAGCCATTTCCCCTTAGCTCAGCACATCTCTGATCACCCCTCAGCACTGTTTCTCTTCCAGGCACTGTCTGGACCCCACTACTACACCTGGGGTGACCACGGGGGCATTCTCGTGGCCATCGCTCAGGGCACCGAGACCGACCAGCTCAAGTGAGTGTCAGGGCACAGGGATTGCTCCTGGTGCTCAGCCTGGGGATGGGAGAGAGTGCCCTGCAGCAGGCAGGAAATGCCCCTGGCACCTCTCCCAACCTTCTTTCCGCAGGTACAGCACAAACGAAGGGGAGACCTGGAAGGTGTTCACGTTCTCGGAGAAGCCGGTGTTTGTGTACGGGCTGCTCACCGAGCCGGGGGAGAAAAGCACCATATTCACCATCTTTGGCTCCTACAAAGAGAATGGCCACAGCTGGCTGATCCTGCAGATCAACACCACGGATGTGCTGGGTAAGGGGACAGGTGACAGAGCCACTGCTGATGATGGCTGTGTCCGGAGGGGCTGTGGCACCACCATCCGTGCTCGAGTGCTCTCTGTCCCTCGTGTCACTGCTGCTGAAGGCATCACTCTTATTCCCTGTGCTCTCCCCGTATCCCTTCCCTCCTCACTGAGGAGTTTGTCAAACAGGAAAAAGGGAAAAAAAAAAAAGAAAAATTCCTTCTGAAGGCTTATGCCTATGAATGTTTTATAACCCATTTCAGCTTTGATTGCGAGGCAGCATTTTAATCAAAGCGCAGTTAAACCCAGCAGAGGAATTTACTTGACTAAAATTTATAACTGATTCCCCTGACGTTTTGTTGGGAACGGATCTGTTTGGTAACCAGAATGACTCCATTTAAATGAGGCGTCACAGATTCACTGTCACTGCCACAGAGCTGCTTGTTGCCTCCTGTCACCGCGTGCCGCTGCACGCTCCGAGCTGGAATGCTCTTGGCTTTGCCTTTTCCTTTGGGACTGGGCTAGAGCCTTGCAGATTGGGGGAATTCTATTATTTTGTGACAGGGGAGGGCAGAGAGGGAAGGGAAGGGCATTACTGTGGTGTGGGGTTGGATGCCTGCCCTCCTGGGGGAGCTAAAATTAAGAGTGTTTTTCCAAGAGACTGCTTTAAAACAAGGTGTGGGGTTGAAGATGTGGCAGCTCCAGGATTCCCACACTTTTGGCTTATTTGGCTGAGGGGCTGCAGGGACTGCACCTTTCCATACCCCAACCTTGTTTCTTCTCTTAGGGGTCCCTTGCACAGAGAATGACTACAAGCTGTGGTCACCCTCCGATGAGCGAGGCAATGAATGTTTACTGGGGCATAAAACCGTGTTCAAGAGGAGGACTCCTCATGCCACCTGTTTCAATGGAGAGGATTTTGACAGGCCTGTCATGGTCTCCAACTGCTCCTGCACGAGGGAAGACTTTGAATGGTAAATACCAATTAATTTCATTTAATCTGGGTTGTAAGTCTGAGATAAGTTATCTGTGACCAATCGCTCAGAGTGAACAAACATCCAATTTACGTGGCTCTGAGTGTCGCTGCTTCATTTTATAGCAAGGAGGAAACTGCAAGGACTGAAAACATCCTTTCATTAATGGTACGGTGTGAGACTTAATTAATGTCTTTACAACCTATTGGGAGCCTCTGAAAGGTTCCCTGGAACAGGAAAGTATCGTTACTCCCTCACCTTTCAAATGATGGTGGACAATTTCCCATCACATCCAGAGATCCTCCACCAAAAACCTTTGTGACCCTTCAGCCCCAGGGATGCAGCTGGCCCTGCTGTATCACTTTGTCTGCAATTTGCACATTACTGGCACTGGGTTAGGAAACACGCTCTGGCAATGTGGTGCAAAGGTTTGGGGTTAGAAAGTGAACTGCTTTTCAGGGACTGGGCTTTCAGTGGGGCTCACACCAGACTGCTCGAGCCCAGATCTGCCTGTCTGATGCCCAGACAGAGCCTAAGTCTGGCTCACCATGAGCAGGCTGAGAATAAGGCCTGGTGGGATCCAATCCCTGCCTTGGAATCGCAGCTCCCTGCAAAATCAGATTGACACAACCCCTTCCACAGCGTTTTCCAAGGAACAGCCGCACTGTAACTCCCTTTTTACCAACAGCACAAGCCAAGAGACAGAGCAGTGACCTAAGCCAGCCAGGAGAACTGGGGCTTGCAGCCAGGTTTTCAGAGCACTCTGGCTCAGCCCTGCCTTGCTGCCTCACCTTCCCCAGCCTGCCCAGGCACTGGCAAGCTTATTTGCAAAATGTTCTTGAAACGTCCTGTCTGGCTCTGAGAAATCATATGCAGCTAAATGCTGATCATAAGTGAACGGCCTTCTGAGACACTTTGGGTGCTTAAAAACTCTGTGCAAAAATAGAGCAGAGTAATAGTATAGCATGGCTGCATTTTTTCCTTCTCCCTGTCCCCTCCTTACACCTTTCTTCTCCTTGCAGTGATTTTGGCTTTAAACTGAGCGATGATTTATCATTAGAAGTTTGTGTTCCTGACCCTGAATTTGCTGGGAAACCCTATGACCCACCAGTCCCTTGCCCTGTTGGCTCAACCTACAGGAAGACTCGAGGGTATGTGCTGCACTTGGGAGGGCAACCTGATCTCCCACAAGCTGGTATTTATCCTATTGGTGTTTAAAAAACCCCAAACAGCCACAAACCACACAATGGAAACGCCCCACGAGTGGCAGTAAACAACTGGCATGTTTGGACATACATTGCAATTAAACACTGCTGCCTATTCAGGCTGCACAGGATGGTTTGTTAGGAGTTTCCATGAAATAAACTGTGTGTGTTTGCAGCTACAGAAAGATCTCTGGGGACACTTGTGCGGGTGGAGACATCGAGTCGCGGCTCGAGGGGGAGCTGGTGCCGTGCCCGCTGGCTGGTGAGTACAGGGCAGGACTGCTCTGGGCACAAGGGCTTCATTCATAAAACCCCTGGGACCATGCACGAACTCCTAGAGGGCTCTCAGACAAAACCTGTGCGACACAGGAGCCTTGGTGGGTTACAGATCATCACCTCCTGCCCAGCGGCCAGAGAGCAGCATCAGCCCAGGGTGCAGAGCCCTCTCTGCTCCTGAGCCCCTCAGGGCAGGCTGCAGGCAGGAACCCTCTTATCCTGGTCATGTCCTTGTTGTAGCTGGTGTGAACCAAACCAGAGAGACAAGAATTAGATCAAAGATATCCCCATCCTGGAGAAACCCTTGGGAAGGTACCACCCTGAGACAGCTGCTGTATGTGGCTGAACGATGGTTATTTGGGGCCAGACCAGGGCAGAGGCTGCCCTTCAGCCCTCACGCCTGCCAGACTTCACCCCCATCCTTATTTTCTCTTCTCAAACGTACAAGGCACTGAAGCAGTCTCATGCCCCTGTGCTGCCAAAGCTATTTGCATTCTGCTCATTACAGCTTTAATTTAATCTGCCGTCACGAGCTGCGTGATCAGCATGCTGCTGTGCTGCAGCTCCAGAGCCTGAGGCAGGGCAGGGGCTCATGTGAGGGCTGGGGCAGCTGAGACCACCAGCACGAGGTTTCCCTGCACTGCCCTAAGATTTTTCAGGGTGCAAAGAGCTCAGGGAAGCGTTCCCCCTGCTGGGATTCTTGCCAATGCCGTGCTCAGTTTTACTCCTCGTTCAGAGCCCGACACGTTTTTCACCCCTCTGAGCCCTCTTGAGCTATTTGGAGAGCTGTGCTGGTCATGCTGAGAAGGGCCCTGCTGATTGCAAAATAAACCTGCTGTCCCCACCGGGCTGCCCTTTGAAGTGCAGTGTTCCCAGAGTATTTGCTGATCGTCTTCAGATACGTGTTGGCTCGCACCATGGTAACACTTTCATGTACAGTATCTGTTTCATATCTCCGTATAATCTCATTAGGGATGCACAGCCAGAGTTACTTACTGACATTAGCTTTACTCATTAATAGCATTATTGGACTTGACCGGTAGTGTTGCTAATGCCCAGGAGACTTTGTCCCGGCCCAGGATCCCATTACGCTGGATTTGACACAATTTAGAAACAAAACCCACCCTGGGATATTTTCCTGCGGTGCCAGTGTCCCTTAGGACTTGCAGATTTACATCACTCCAAGCTTTCTTATGGGGTTTTTGAGGGAGAGGAGATCTGTATTTTGTTTCTCATTGCGGGGAGGAAGGGGGTCACACTTTTGTTGGCCTTACCTCCTCCTCCTGGGTCAGACAATGGCCACAGTGTGTTCCTGGACCCACGTTCTCATCTACCTAATCCCAACTGAGACAAAGGGTCTTTGCCTCCCTGAGTTGCTAAAACCCGGGGTCAGAAAATACCTGCTATTTTCTTTTTGCCCCTTGAGTAGCCTGAAAGGGCCACTGAATAAGGTTGCTCTCCTGGTTGTTGTTGCAGAGGAGAACGAGTTCATTCTCTACGCCACCCGCTACTCCATCCACCGCTACGACCTGGCCTCGGGTGTCAGCGAGGAGCTGCCCCTGGCAGGGCTCAGAGGGGCAGTTGCCCTCGACTTTGACTACGACCACAACTGCTTGTACTGGGCTGATGTCACTCTGGACATTATCCAGGTGAGCCGGGGGGTGAGGAGGCTGCCGTGGGTCAGGCTGCCCCTGGCATCACCTCCTTGCACCAGCGTGTTTCATCCACACCCCGAAATACAAATGTTTGCCTTGGTGCTGCTCCCCTCCCAGCTGTCTGTCTCTGCTTGCCTTGCACACCTGACCACTCTCACCTTCAGCCTGAGGAAGTTCCTCATCTTTTATTCTGATTATTATTATTTTCTTTTTCCAGCGTCTTTGCCTCAACGGCAGCTCTGGGCAAGAAATAATCATAAGCACTGGGCTGGAGACAGTGGAAGCTTTGGCCTTTGAACCCCTCAGTCAGTTGCTGTACTGGGTCAATGCTGGGATTCCCAAAATTGAGGTACAGCTCAGCCCATCTGTGCTACAGAGACGTGACTGTGGCAGTGCATATTTTATTAGGGAGCAATAATTGCCTGCCACAGATTTCATGCCAATTTAAGCGAGTGCAGTAAACACAGCCCTCCTGGTTTTGGTTTCTGGCCCAGGTTGCCAATCCAGACGGAGACCTGCGACTCACTGTCCTCAACTCCTCCATCCTTGAGCGACCCCGAGCCCTCGCTCTGGTTCCCCGAGACGGGTAAGAAAGAGCATCACGAGTAGGAGCCCTGGTGCTCCCCAGGGGAACCATGCTCATCCTTCAGCACTAACAGCACAGGGGAGAGGGCTGATGGACAGCTTGGATAGCAAAATGTGGGCACAGACACAGCACGGCGGGTCCAGCTCACAGTCCTTCCCTCCAGAGCCCACTCTTGCCGTCACATGCCCAGCTAAGCCACCTCAGAGCAGAGATCACAAACTGTTTATTCTTTCCTGCCCATACCTATCTACTAGTAAATAACTTTTCCTGCCAGTAGAACTGGTCTGGTCAGTGGGCAAAGCTGCAGTGACGCGTGAGAAACTAAGCTGAGCTCAAATTCAAGAGCTAAATCTAAGCTGTACCTTCCTGAGCGGGGTTTTTGCTGCGGCTGCAAACGCAGCTCTGACAAACCCGAGCTGTCTTCAGGCATCTGTGCTAAAGTGAAGCAGTTCACAGCAAGGTGAACCTGCAGCTGCACTCACACCACGGAGCTCGCAGCTGAATAAGCCTCTGTGCTGCTCGTAGATCTGCTGCTGGCGTTCATTAGAATTGCAGAGCTCCCCTTTCAAAGGCACGTGCAGGGGACACGGAATGTAAAGCATTCAAACCTCTGCTTCTGCAGCCTGGTTCCCTTTGATGAGCTGTTCTGTGATGATTCGGAGTAACCTCTCTGCCTGTTGTCAGGTTGATGTTCTGGACTGACTGGGGGGACTCCAGAGCTGGGATTTACAGGAGTGACATGGACGGGTCCCTGGCCGGGTGCATCGTTTCGGAGGGGGTGCGGTGGCCAAACGGGATTTCCGTGGATGACCACTGGATCTACTGGACCGAAGCCTACATGGACAGGATCGAGAGGGTGGATTTCAATGGGATGCAGAGATCTGTCATCCTGGACAGCCTCCCTCACCCTTATGCTATTGCTGTGTTTAAGGTTTGTTTTCCCGTTTCCATAGCAGGCAGGCTCTGAGCTCGGTGCTGGAGGAGCACTGAGCACACTGAATTTGGAGGGTGGGGATGTCATTTGGAGAAGGCACGATGCTTGCTCTCTTTCTGCTCCTGGCACATTCCCCTAAATTCCTGAAAGGAGCAGGCAGGTGCAGTTAAACCCAGGACCAACATCCAAGAGTGTGCAGCATTCCCAAGTCGGTGCACTGCACTGTCTTCCCCATGTTATTTGCCACTCCATTCCTGCTCAAATCCCTCTTCAGTTCTTTCTCTTCTTGTCCCCATTTGGCTGGGGACATTTGCTCTTTCAGTGTCCCCCCACATCCAGGATTTAGGGTGGCTTAGAGCAGGTCCTGCTGACGAGCACAGCCCCGGTGCTGCTGCCCCTTGAACTAAGAGCCAAGCCTGTGTTTCAGAATGAGATCTACTGGAATGACTGGTCACAGCTGAGCATCTTCAGAGCATCCAAAACCAGTGGCTCGAGGATGGAGATCCTGGTCGGCCGATTAAATGGGATCATGGACATGAAAATCTTTTACAGAGGAAAGACAACAGGTGAGTGTGCAGATGAACTTCCCTGTGGTTTGGAAATGTGTTCATCCCCAGTTTCCAAGGGTTCCCAAGGTCACCAGGCCCTCCTGGCTTGCATTTCATGACTATATCCCCATTCCTGCAGGGTTTGAAGCTCTCAGGCTGTGAGGAATGAGTCTCATGAGTGTTCTGTGCTGCTTTTTGGCTGCCAGGAGAGATAATCCAAATCAGGGAGAGAGCTCAGAGGGCAGGCACCTGTGGTGACACCTCATAGTTTAGGTCACAGACCACAGCCTTTCCAAGGAAAGTGCTGTATGGACCAAAAAATAATAGTGTCTTAGGGCTGCATCAACTTTGTCCTCCAGTTAGTCATCCATCTGATAAGGCAGCAGTAGTCCCTGTGTGATAAATGTGCTGGTTTATACCCATTTTCAGAGGGGTACAAGGCCATCAAAGGGCTCTGTAGGAGACTGGGAAGATGTTTAAGGCCCTTGAACTCCCTGGAGCAGATGGCTCAGTGCATTCCTAAGGCCCCTCAGCACCCAGCACTGCAGAGCGAGCTCCAAAGCCTGGGCTGACAGGTGAAATTGGGTGTTCCCAGCCCTCTGTCCTGACAGTTCCCCCTTTCCTCTCTTCCCTGGCTCCAGGGGAGAATGGCTGCATCTCCAAGCCCTGCAGCCTGCTCTGCCTGCCCAAGTCCAACCACGGCAGGAGCTGCAAGTGCCCCGAGGGGGTGTCCAGCACCGTGCTGCCCACGGGGGAGGTGAGGTGTGACTGTCCTCGTGGCTACATCATGAAGAACAACACTTGCCTGAAGGAAGGTAAAAACACTTAGTTCTTGCTTCTGGTTTATGCTGAGGGGCATCTTCTGCCTTTGGGAGAGGTCAGCGTGACCTTTTCTCTGTCGAGGAGGAGCGGGGCCTGTTTCTAAAGCCTGGCTTGTTTTGGTTTTCCCTCCTGCACCAGAAAACACGTGCCTGCCCAACCAGTACAGATGCTCCAACGGGAACTGCATAAACAGCATCTGGCAGTGTGACAACGACAATGACTGCGGGGACATGAGCGACGAGAGGAACTGCCGTAAGTGTCCTGCCCAAATTTAGATGTCTGGTGTGTTGCCATCTACACTGCCTTCAGGGACAGCAAGAGGTGCTTTGGGGGTGTAACTCACGTCCTCTGACAGACACCCAAAGCCAGCTGGATGAGTTGTGTCCCACGAGGGCCAACATTTCCCCCTCGACCAGCTCAGGTGTCACTGGCATCGGTGAGACTGATGCCAGCTGTGTTCATCTCTTGCAGAAATTGTCTTCTGAAGCTAATTGAGGGCACAGCCAATGCTGAGGAAAAGAGTGCACATAGAAAGTGACTTGGGTCTGCAAGGGTCTCTTGTTGAGCTGATCAATCAAGTTCACACATTAAAGATGGGAGGTCGTGTTTTCGAGCAAAATTAGGGACTGCCAATGTGTGCAGGAAGGGCAGATGTCCCACAGCTTGGAAGAGCTGAAGGGTTTGGATTAGTGCACTGTGGAAAAAGTACCAGAGTTTAAAGTTAGGAATCACTGGGGGGACCAGGTGCTCCTGGAGAGATGCTGTTTATGCCCGTTTTGTACCAATAAGGAACTTATTTTCCTGCCAATATTGACACACCAGTCAGCAGAGTCCACATGTGAGCTCATTGCCTGGTTCCTGGCAAGGGAAAGCCTCTGTATGTACCCATTCCTTGTCAGGGGGTGACCAGTGTGGCACAGGGGTGCTGTCTGGGATAGCAACACTCATGCCCAGCTGTTCCCCTCCTTTGCCTGCCCTCTCTCTGCCAACCACCCTTGGTTTCAATCTCTTTCCTGGAGAACAGGCAGCTCTACAGCCTCAGCTTCTTGTTTCCTAGCTGGGAGTGGGCATCAGGAGCTTCAGTCCTGATCCCCAGACAGAAAACTAACCCCTTTCTTCTCTGCTTTACTCCGAGTACTTAAAAATGGCATTAAAATAAAAGAAGAGTAACTCAGGTTGCACTGGGCAAAGCTCACGGTCTTTCTCCCTTCACCTCTCTGCACTGAGTACACACACTTAGGCAGCAGAAACCATTGTCTAACCACCACCTTAACCTCCTTCTCCTCCTCCTTCCCCTCCCCTCTCCATCAGCCACCACCGTGTGCGACGCCGAGACCCAATTCCGCTGCCAGGACTCGGGGACCTGCATCCCACTGTCCTACAAGTGTGACCTGGAGGACGACTGTGGGGACAACAGCGATGAAAGTCACTGTGGTGAGCACCCTCACTCCAACCTCCTTCCCTGTGCAAGGGTGGAAAGCTGCTCTCCAGCATCTCTGCTGCTCATAGCTGCTGGATCTGGATGCCTGTGGAATGCTGGTTGTGGATGTTTCAGGGCGAGGCAGTGCTTTACCTGATCCCCCTGTTTATCCAGGCTAACAGCTGCCTCTTCATCATTTACTGGGTGCTGGGAAATGGGGGACAGGACCATCATTTACTGGGAAATGAGGGACAGGACCATCACATACTGGGAAATGAGGGACAGGAGAAGAAAGTGAGGCCATGTGCTGGTTCTTCTCCTCTCTGGGACATTTCTGTGTCATTGTCATCCAGCTGTCCCACTCTGTTCCTTGGACACTCCCGGTGACCTGAAGCCAAATATTTTGTTTGCAGAGGCCCACCAGTGCAGGAATGATGAGTTCAGCTGCAGCTCAGGGATGTGCATCCGTCTCTCCTGGATGTGTGATGGTGACAACGACTGCAGGGACTGGTCTGATGAAGCCAACTGCACTGGTGAGTGCTTTGATGGGCCCAATAACCCTCACAGCCTGTGAGACATTGGCCAGCACCTCGGGCCTCAGTTTCCCTGCTTGTTGGAGCACCCAGCAGAGCTCACCTCGGGATGATGTGATGCTCCAAAATCCCAGGGTTTCTCTCCTCCAGTGCCTTAGGGCTCGCTGGGAATTTGCTGACAGCTTTGAGATGCTCACACAGTGATCCAGCTTTGCTTTTTGGTTGCAAGGTTGCACCAACAGGCAATGGAATGGGAAGCAGCTCTGTGGCTGCCAAGCAGCCAGAGGATTCTTCTGGCAGAAAGGGTTCCCCTGTTGCAGGAAGGCAGCAATCAGGCCAGTGTGCACTGGCAGCTTTTCACAGCTTCAATCTGTTTTCCTGCCATTAAATATTGTTGCAGAAAACAGACACGTTCTTTGCAGCTTCTCCACAATTAATTGATCTGAAGAAAAGGCAGATTTAGTTCAGGAATTGTCTCCTAGCAGCCTCACTGCTTCATAGGCTTGAAAACCTCAAGAGAGTGTCCTAAGAGGGAGTCACACATGGAAGACCTGCTCTTGTTTTACTTTCAATTCATATTGATGCAACCTGGCTGCCAGAAATAATATTATTCCTAGTTTGTGTCTCCTGTGCAGCAAGTCCTGTGAGCCTCACTCTGTCTTTGCAGTTTAAAGTCACAACACTCAACTCCCCTCATCACTGCAGTGTAACACTGATGTTCCTCAGCAGCCTCCTGAGCTTAACACCCACACAGAATCCTTTTCTCATTAGAAAAGCCAACAGATTACATTGTTTCTTAGTAGAAAAGACCAATACAAACAAGCAAAAACCCCCAAACACCCAACCAAGCCAAAAACCCCAAATATTTACATGAGAAGAGGCTTCTGAGAGTAAGCATCAGTCCATCAGTGAAAGACCCAAGACTGTATTTATAAAACAATACATGGGGTATTTCAAGATAACAAACAGTGGTTTCCATGACATGGGGTGCGATCTGATGGGCTGATGGGGCTGGGGGAACCCTTTGGAGTGCATTCCTTTGGGAATGCTGGCAGTAGCTTTGCTCTGGCTGCAACCTGGAGCCATTGGGGCAGACAGCGGCAACAGCTGCTGTTTGGGGCTCTGGCAGGAGGATTTAGGAGATCCCTTTCAGGCCTCCAAGCTCTGTGTGTTCACCCCTGAGGCATTTGCTGTGCCTGGAGCACACGGGGTTGTAGCACTGGGGATCCTGGTCATTGGTATTCCGGGAGCACGGCTTCGTGAGAAGGTTTAATTTATATTGGTATCACTTATCTCTCATATGAGTTCCTCCAGAGAGAATTACTACAGGAAAGGAACCTACTTCAAAAAGCACAGCAGGTTTGTAAAGCCCTGAAGTTGAAATTATCTAAGAGGATCACAATTATTTGAGGAACATTCCGTCTGACTCCACCGGCTGCAATTATTGCGCTTATCTAAAATAATTACATTTCACGCTGAATACCTAATAGAATATTACTGCCACAAGATTGTACTATTTTGAAATATCTGCAAGTGCATGTCACTCTCTAACCTGGAACTCGTTATCATGCAATTTAATTAAGTTGAACATTGCTTTTCTCAGTAACTCCGAGCGCTCTCCTGGTTGAAGAGCAGCATTTGTCTCTAAAGTGACAACACAGGCTCGGCTTCCACCCAGATGCCCCACAGGCAGAGATTTCCCTGACAGGAGCCTGAGAAAAACTCCCAAGGAGAATTGTGTTTCTAGTTTGCTTTGGCAACATGGAAAAACCTTGTTTGCCTTAATTAAAGGCTCTCACTGAGTTTGTCCTGCCCGGCACGGGGGACCCTGATGCTCTGCCAGGACTTGCTTGACCTCTGTGACATTTCTTGCCATCTCTGGCAAGGTGCCACCACTGTCACCTTTGCCTGCACACACCAAGGGCTGAGATTAAAGGGAAAGAGGCTCCTGAGTGTGGGAGAGCTTTGGGAGGGCTCCAGCCTCCAAAAGCCATCCCTGAGGCAGGAATGAGCCATTCCTCACAGCAGGCTTGTGAGCAAGCATGGCAAGGAGAGGAAAAGACCTGGGAGAACCTGGGCTCATGGAATTCTCCTGCCTGGGGTCCATGGAGTGGCTGCTTGTGCTCAGTGCTGGGACCTGCCATGGCACAAGGTCCTGGGGCAGGTGGAGGGAGTTGGGTGTGTGGTGGTGTGGCCCAGCTCATCACGTGCCACAGCTCAGCAGGGACGTGGTGACAGCCCACAGGTGACACCCCACACTCAGGTGTCCCCCTGGCTCTGGTTTCAGCAGTTTATCACACCTGTGAGGCCTCCAGCTTCCAGTGCCAGAACGGCCACTGCATCCCACAGCGCTGGGCTTGTGACGGCGACGCCGACTGCCAGGATGGCTCTGATGAGGACCCTTCCAACTGTGGTAAAGTGTGCTCTGTGTGTGCTAAAGTGCACTCTGTGTGTGCTAAAGTGTGCTCTGTGTGTGGTAACATGGCTCTGCCATGGGGTGGGAGGGATTTCTACACACCCACTGAGATAAACCAGCAGCAAACTCAGGCGGATGATCCCCATCCCTCCAAAAGCAGGCACAGGGTGAAGGCAACTGGGGCTGTGCTGTGGCTTTTTGTGATTAACTAAATCAGCTTAAAAAAGACCAAAACAAACCACACAACATCCACCTGATTCTGAATTTCAGAGAAGAAGTGCAATGGCTTCCAGTGCCCTAATGGCACCTGCATCCCAACCAGCAAACACTGCGATGGCATCAACGACTGCTCTGATGCATCGGATGAGCAGCACTGTGGTGAGTACCAGGGCCATGGGGCCCCAGCAGCCAGGGCTGGCAGGCTTTATGGTCTGCCAAAGCCTGTCTGGCTGGGAATAAAGCCCTGCTGAGAGAATGGGAAAGCCTTAGTTAGCATTCAGCAGCCCCCTGGGAAATGGGCGGGTCAGCGAACGGCGCAGTTGTCAGGCTGGGACACACAGGGAGGGCACTGCCAGGGGCTGTGTTCAGGGAGGTGACCAACCCCTCCTTTTGGGTTTGCACCCTGATGCATTACTGGGTGAAAGCAGCCTGTGCAGGGACAAAGCTCATGTGCAACTCAAGCAAGTTCGCATTTGCCTTGGGAACGTTCTGCAAGTTCCTGAAGTCCACCCGGGTCTGTGCAGATCCCAGTGGGTGGAATTCCTGCTGCCAAGGACAGCAGAGGTGCCACCCAACCCTCTCCTCCTGATCTCCTGTTTCTCCAGAGCCCCTGTGCACCCGCTACATGGATTTTGTGTGCAAGAACCGGCAGCAGTGCCTGTTCCACTCCATGGTGTGTGACGGCATCATCCAGTGCCGGGACGGGTCAGACGAAGATGCCAACTATGCTGGCTGCTGTAAGTGATACTGGGCATCCCTGCTAAAGGGGGGGTTGGATAGAGAATGAAACTAGAGGCATGGAGAGAAACAGGGTACCAGAAAGCTGCCAGATCTAAGAGGTGGCTCTGGAGGGTAATGCTCTGCTTATAAATCCATGATTGCCTCTGAGCGTGCTCCTGCTCAACAGTGAGCTTCCCTCAAGCCCTCTGTCTGTACACCAAACCTGTCCATGCTGCCCTGCAGCCCAGGACCCCGAGTTCCACCGGACCTGCGACCAGTTCAGCTTCCAGTGCCAGAATGGGGTGTGCATCAGCCTGGTGTGGAAGTGCGACGGGATGGACGACTGTGGGGATTACTCTGATGAAGCAAACTGTGGTGAGCAGCACCTCAGGGCCTCCTGTCACTGTAACTCCAGCCTCCTCTGAATTCCAGGAGCATGGAGTACAACCTTCTTCGTGTTTTACACTCACGTGTGTACATACGTATTCCATGTGCACATCACAGCGCGTCCTGTGTGGAGATCAGTGTCACTGCCCTCGTCCTGCCAGTGAAGCACACTGAAAATCCAATACAGCTGGCACATCTTGTGCTTCACTAAGTCATATATGACGGTATTTGCTGCACAGACTCCCAGCCCAAAGCAGACAGGCAGTTTCCAGCCAAACTCAATATTTACCACTGTTCCCTGGGTGGCTGGGGGAGCTGTACCCAGCCAGGCGAGGCAGCTGCCTCTTCATTTCAGAGTTGCTGGGTTTGCTTCTCCCTTTCTGCCATGCTCTGGTGGATTTTGCTGCCAGCTCTGGTTCTGAGATCATGGGTGGTGTCTGGCCACAGACATAACAGTGGTGGCAACAGGATAGTGAGGGCTGGGGAATGGTGGAGATGAAGCTATAGGAGCATGCCCATGTTGGGCCAGCCTGAGGTGCTTCCCACAGCTCAGCTGTGCTGAAAACTGGTGAGGTAACTCTGGGGCTCACAGGATTTTCCTCTCCTTGTCAGAAAACCCAACAGAGGCCCCGAACTGCTCCCGGTACTACCAGTTCCAGTGTGGGAACGGGCACTGCATCCCCAACCGGTGGAAGTGTGACAAGGAGAATGACTGTGGGGACTGGTCTGATGAGAAGGACTGTGAGGGTAAGGACACACAGTGCTCTGCTCTTCCCTGGGCTGTGACATGCTGAAGGACCACTCTCAGCATCAGCTGCCGTGGGACAGCCCATGCCAGCCTCTGTGGCTCCAAAATCCCCCATGAACGGGCTGAGTGTGCACTCCCATGCACCCTTTCACTCCGTGTTTTTGGAAATCCCGATTTCCAAAGTAAGGAAACCTTGATTTCCAAAACGAGGAGGTGTTTTCACCAGCTGTGCAGATGAAAGCACTGGCCATGTGCTGCCTTGCCTGCTCCTCCACTGGCCGTGGCTCTGGGTCTGCCGGGAGCGGGCACAGCTCTCAGCCCGTGCACAGGGGCAGGGAGCTCAGGGCAGCTCTCCCCGGGGTGTTTTTAGGTTCTCCAGTTCATCCCATGACCACGCTGATCCCCCCGACGTGTTTGCCCAACCACTTCCGCTGCAACAGCGGCTCCTGCATCACCAACAGCTGGGTGTGTGACGGGTACAGGGACTGCACCGACGGCTCTGACGAGGAGGCCTGTCCCACCCCACGTGAGCTTTCCTCTCCCTCACCCTTCCCCTCTTACTGTAGGATCGCTTCTGCAAGGAATGTTGGCCTTAAGGTCCACGTTGCGGGGTTAAATTACACCGTGGTGTAAAAGTTTTGAGGCTGAGGGGAGACCTCGTGGAAGTTCCAACTTCCTCGGGAGGGGAAGAGGAGGGCAGGCACTGAGCTCTGCTCTGTGGGGACCAGGGACAGGACCCCAGGGAATGGCCTGGAGCTGTGTCAGGGCAGGGTTAGGTTGGATATTAGAAAAAGGTTCTTCCCCCAGAGGGTGCTTGGGCACTGCCCAGGCTCCCCAGGGCAGTGGGCACAGCCCCAAGGCTGCCAGAGCTCCAGGAGGGTTTGGATGATCCTCTGGGGCACAGGGGGTGACCGTTGGGGATGGTTTTGTGCAGAACCAGGAGCTGGATTTAGTGATCCTTGTGGGTCCCTCCCAACTCAGCACATCCTGTGACTCTGTGCTCCCTCTCTCCCCGGGGTCAGCCCTGCTGCCGCCAGCTGGGACACTGCTCCAGCTCCACGTGCGCCGCGAGCAGGACATTCCCTGCAAAGCAGTGGCTTTTCCAGCCCTCTGCAGTCAGGAGAGAGGATGGCTGAGGCGCCATCCCGGCAGACACCATCCACCTGCAGGATGGGAAGAGATTGCCATCTAGTGGAGTCGGGACCTGGGCACGGGTTTTGGTCCCTGCTGGTGACAGCAGCCGTGGTTTCCATGGTTTGGGTGGTTTTCTCCCTTGCTCTGTGTGCAGGACCCAACGTGACAGCCACCTCCCCGGCGCTCCCGGGGCGCTGCAGCAGGTTCGAGTTCGAGTGCCAGCAGCTGCACAAGTGCATTCCCAACTGGAAGCGGTGTGACGGCGTGAGGGACTGCCAGGACAGCACCGACGAGAGGAACTGCCGTGAGTGAGGGGAGGGGAGAGGCTCTCACCCGGCTCCTTCCCTTGGGAAGCTCCTTGTGAGGACAGGGAAGCCACCCAAGGGTTTTGTTGCTGGGGAAATCCTTGCAGTAAATGCAGTTTTACAGAAAAAAAAAAAAGGAATTAAAAGCCTTAGCAGTGCCATTGCCATTAGAAGTCCAGTTGTTGTTTAACATGGGATAAGCTCCAGGTTCTTCTGATGCCACCATGGCAGGACAAGACACCCCTGTGACTGACACATCAGCCTGAGCTCCATCCCTGACATGCAGCCAGTGCCTGCTTGGGAAGCAGCACTGGCACTGCAAACAGCCCAGGGAGGGAACTTCCCTGCCTTGAGTCCTGAACTGTTCTGCCTTTTGCAGCTACCCAGAGCACCCTGTCGTGCCCTAATGGTTACAAATGTGAGGATGGAGAGGCCTGCATCATGTTGACAGAGCGCTGTGATGGATATCTGGACTGCTCAGACAGCAGTGATGAGAGGAACTGCACCGGTGAGCAGCAGCCCCCTCCCAGTTCTCCTGCCCTGCTCTGTCAGCACACAGGGCTGCTCTCCTGGACACCTGACCTTTCACTCACAGCATCAGTGACTTATCTGCCTCTGTTCAGTTGTCCAAGCTACCTCCTCATCCATTTATCACTGGGACAAACTCCACATCCAGTTTCTACACCGACAATTTGTCTTCCAGCAGCCTCAGACACCAAAAAAATCATTGTAGGACGGTTAGGAGCAAAGCTGTCTATTTTACGTGGCCCACAGGTGAAGCAATAGTCTCCTGCTCTGTCCCCCTTTGCAAGGTGACCCTGGGAGATGTGGCACGTGCCCTGCTGCCATCACTGGCCCTGCCAGGGTGGCCCTTGGTGGCCCTGTGGAGGCACGGGGGGCACAGCCTGCCCTGGGCAGATAACGGCGCTCGATCGCTGCCGCTGGCCATGAGCTCCAGCTGCCTTCCCACTGAACTGCTTGGGGGGCTGAGCATCAATCAGGTTTAGTTCTTTAATTAAATATCGATTGGGAGAGGCTGGCAGGTTCAGGGGAGGGGGAAGGAGCTGCTGAGATGCACGGCTTGGCTGCTGTGCCGAGGGGAAACCATCTCTTTTCCCTCGGGTAGCTTGTCCTGCTGTGCCTGTCCATGGACCCACTGGGTTTCATTTCTAGCTGTTTAGGGAAAGCAAAGCAGTAGCAGTTTGTCTCTGCTCTGCCTGGCTTCTGCCCAGCACTGGGAATGAAGCTGAGCACCCACATGGGGCCAGGCCAGGGCCCTTGGGTGTGGGCTCTGACACATCCCTGGGGGGAGAGAGCAGGGAATGGCCCCACTGAATTTGGGCTGTTTCAGATCAGCACCTCCAGCCCCACCACTGCCACTGCTGGATTTCAAAGTGCTTTTATCCCCTAAATGCTTCTCCCAAGATCAGGCAGTGATTTAGCCACCGAGCTCATGCCAAGGCAATCCCCAAACTTTAATTACCAACCTTTGCTCGGGTCCTTCTGCTGAACCCAAGATGTGATAAGGAAAAACACACAAGGAAAGGCTGACAGGGACAGTACAAACTCATTGCATCAGTAGAAGAGTGACTTAGCTTGCACTGTTCAATACGCACTCACACTTCCAAAATAGTATTTCATCAACAGCCACACTTTATCATCCCTCAGGGGAAAGGGGATGCTTGCACGGTGCAGAATAAAGACAACCAAGACATTTTAGGTAGAACTAAGAGTACCAGGGGTAAATTCCTGCTCTGAACTGCCTTCTGTGAGCCTGCTTTTCTCCACTGATAACCCCCTTCTAAATCACACACCTCATTTGAGTGGTGCACACACTCCCTTCAGTCTGTGCTGTTTCTACCTCCACGTGTTGTTTGTGGAGAGAACACAACTCCTGTTTCTCTCCTGGGCAAAAGGCCTGTTTCTCTCTGACAGACTGACTTTTCCCTTTGCCTGCTCAGATGACACAATCGTGTACAAAGTCCAGAACCTCCAGTGGACGGCGGATTTCTCCGGGGATGTCACTCTGACGTGGGCCCGGCCAAAAAGGATGTCCTCCACCTCCTGTGTCTACAACATCTACTACAGGTACATCACCCCCCACACTGCATGACCTGTTGTTGTGCTGAGTAAAAGCCAGGAGAAGCATGAGCACAGGTATCAGGGTGCTGCAGAGAACCGTACAGAATCAGGCCTGAAAGATGCAGAGCTGCTTAATCAAGTTCTGCTTGGAAAATCTTCTGAGATTTGGTAGCAAAGGACACCCAAAATAGGTGTAACTAGAGGGCATTTGTGACAAACTGTATTTGTTTTCCCCATGACTGTTTATTCAGACAGTATAGTAGCTATATTCATATTTTTTTCCACTCGGGTCTTTTCTTTGTATGACCATTAACAGCAAGAACAAAGACAATAAATTAGAGCACAACAGTTGTAGAAAACCTTAGAGGCTTTTAAGTCACCAAGCTATGGTTAGTTTAGGCTTTCCAACAGGATCTTTTCAAGCTGGTGGCGTGGCTTTACCAGAAAGAAAGCTTTTAAAATACAGATAAATGGTTCCACCCTCTGGGACAAACTGAGCACCATCCTGACCTGAGGTGTGCGACTCTCTCATGCAGGACGGTGGGAGAAAGCATTTGGAAGGTTTTGGAAACCCACAGCAACAAAACCAACAGCGTTTTGAAGGTCCTCAAGCCTGACTGTACCTATCAGGTGAAGGTCCAAGTGCAGTGTCTGAGCCGGGTCTACAACACCAACGACTTCATCACGCTGCGGGCACCCGAAGGATGTAAGCAGAGCTGCCCAGCTCCTGGCAGTGCCCTCATTCATGCTGCCTTGGCTTAGAAAGTAGATACCACACAGGTATCCCTGTTATAAAGAAAAAAAGGCCATTCCATAAACCTGGGGTTTGTGCAGGACTGGGAAGATGGACTATCCACCCCTTTGTCCCAACCTTTCAGGGCAAACCTGCTTCTCCCCGTGCGATCTGGACACACTGCTGTGACTGTCACTGACTCCTCTGTTTCTCTCCCCAGTGCCAGATGCTCCCTTCAACCTCCAGCTGTCCCTGAAGAAAGAAGCTGAGGGTGTGGTGGTGGGCTGCTGGAGTCCCCCCGTGAACGCCCACGGCCTCATTCGGGAATTCATCGTGAGTCCCGCTGCCTGGTGGGATGGGGACAGCTCAGTGGGATGGGGACAGCAGCATGAGCTGGCCTGTCTGAACACAGCTGGCTCTGCAGGGGGGTGGGCCTGCAGTAGGACATTTTGGGTAGGAAATATTCTGAGAGCACTGGACAAAGTGGGAGAAGAAATGCTGCAGGGCTGGAGGCAGCGGCACAGCCCTTGGGTTCATAATTTCACTCCTGGCTCCCTCTCTGAGCTGTCCTACTCCTTTCTGCTGATGTTTGACACAGAGGAACCCTGTGGTGTTGCTGACTGTGGAGCCCTCATCCCTTGTTTTGGTGCTCCCAGGTGGAATACAGCAGCAGTGGATCCAAGGAGTGGTCGTCCCTGAGAACCACCACCAACTACACAGAGATCAAGAACTTAGAGGTCAACACGCTCTACACAGTCAGAGTGAGTGCTTTCCAAGCTCTGTCTATGAATGTTCTCACCACTTTTCACTAAATATTCTAAGTCCTGCGCAGTTAAGTACTTGCTAAAAAGATATCTTGTTAAAATCTTGCCCTTTAATGCCAACCCACACCAGGGGCTTGGCATTTGCACTGCTAATGTATATAGTTTCAAGGCCTGAATTAAGGCCCTTGATTTGCTCCTTCTCCCAGAAGGCCAGGCTGTATTATAAAATCCTCACTCCTAATTGCCCATTCCAATGTCACTGCAATTGCACTGGATCTGGGCCAGAGATAAATTTGGTCCTCAGTGTATCACTGGGAAAAGAAGCAGAGATCTGCCTGTGGGGAATGTCTGCACAGGGGAGAGGTTGGGTAATTATAGGCAGAAGCAATAAGGATAGGAAATGAAAGTCTGCACAGTTAGCCCTGGGAAATGAGTGCTTTGCCATTGTCCATCCTTCCTCTGCTGAATGAGTTCTTGGGAAGTTCATTGGGAGGTGGGATAAACGTGTCCCCAAAATTATTCCCACAGTTGGCTGGAGCCAGTCTTTCCTCACATGGTGTTCCTTCCCAATATAATCTATTCCCAAATAAATCTTTGGAACTGGATTTAGTGCCTGCATGGACTTCACTGGCACAGTCCTTACCTATACTATGGCCCATGGAGTCCAAAACTCCTTATCTTGATGGGCTCCTCAAAGATCTCATGAGAGACCAGTTATCTGCAAAGAGGCTGCACCTCCCTCCTCTTAGATTCCTTTAACTGACTTTAAGCAGTCTGCTTTATCTCTGTATTAAGCATTTTATTGCCAAGTAATTAAGCTATTGTTTGCTTCAAAGCCCTTTTCCCATAAGCTCTGCCAGGTCTGTAACCTTGCTCTAACCTCATCCTCCTTTTGCATTATACAGTGTTGCTCGTATTAACTCACCCTCTTCTTTGAAAAGGTTGCTGCAGTAACTAGTCGAGGAGTGGGAAATTGGAGTGATTCCAAATCCATAACCACCATAAAAGGCAAAGGTAAATGTTGTTGTTTCAGTCAACTCAGACAACACAACAAAAAGGCAGATTATCAGCCTGAAGTGTCAGCTTCAGCAGGCACAACCACCTCCTCAGCCTTTGCTCTCCCTGTTGACTCTATTACACTATTTTGACAACTTTGCTGCACCTTTTCACTCAACTTGAGCTGCCTCAAAGCTCAGTGGCACATCTGGCAGGGTCACTGACTCCTCCTCTGAACTCCATGGCACAGAGGATGGATGTACTGCCCTGGAATTGGGCAAGGAGCCTGTGCAGAAGGTGCCCTTCTCTCCTAGACTGCAGATGGGTTCCCTCTGACTTATGCAGGCTAGATCCTGCCTTCAGACAGGCAAGACATTACCACCAACTCCTTTGCTCCACTGACTCATCCTTCTCCCTCTTAGGTTATGATAATGATGGTTTCTGCATCTCCACTAAAAGACCACTACATGCTCCCAAAATTGTCACATTACAACCTGACAGTAGATAAATTCAAAAAGCACAGTAAATCATTTCCTTCCCAACTTTTTTTTCTTTAGAAAATACCTCTTGAAATTGTTTGTATTCATGCCAAACTTTTCATCCAAACTTACATTCCCATATCAAAACTTTCTGCTAATTTGTTCCATAAAAGTGCATCCTCCCCGTGCTGACATAAATAAGGGAAAGAAAACACCAGGCTACTAAAAGTGCAGGATTCAGATAATGTGAACTACCTGGTGGTTAGAAAAACAGGGGTAAAAAGAACAAAAATAACTTTCACTTCAGTTTTTTCATGAGTGTTTGGCAGCTGCCCCTGCTGATAGCTCCTGACCTCCCTCACCAGCTCCCCAAAGACCAGGAGCTGTTAACTGGGATAGGAGCTCATCCTGCTGGGTTCAGAAGGGAAATCCTTTTGCCCAGACCTCTTTAGTTCCAGCCTGCACTGGGCAAGGCACAGATAAGGCAGCTTTGAGGTGGTTGATTTAAAAAATGACTGAGGTACAGCATGTCCTTGTCTTCCCTGGGTACATGGGAGGAGACAGGCACGTGTGGGGCTGGGAGGATGGGGGTTTCTGCTCTGAGTCCTGGGTTAAATTAACTCCTAAACTAAAGCCTGTATTTTATCTGTCCCCTCTCAGTGAGCATTTTTACTTCTTTATGCTGTAGTAACAGCTCTTCCTCCCTTTCCTTCCAGTCATCCCTCCCCCTGTCATACACATTGAGAGCTACAGCGAGGACTCCATAAGTTTCAGCCTAAAAATGACCACTAATATCAAGGTAACATTTTTTCACCTCTCCTTCTGGGTCTAAAATAAAAGGCCTGCCTTGGTTAAACGGTGATTAGGGGGTGGGATAAGCTGTCACCTATCAAAGCATTGCAGTTACTGGATATTTCATGCCAAATCATTTCTTACTGCTCATAAACTGCCCCGGGGCTCTTAATTAGGATGGAAAATACAATGTCAGGGGTGGCTCTTTCACTGTGTGAATCACAGTGAGCTCATGTTGTGTGTCCTTGTGCTTGACAGGTCAGTGGTTATGTTGTGAACATCTACTGGACATTCGATACCCACAGGCAGGAAAAAAGGACCCTGATCATAGAAGGAGAAAAGCCCATCCAAAAAGGTAAATTCTGCACAAAGTATTAAATTCTGCTTTAGTCAACACCAAACAAAAAGGTTTATGGAAGGCTGTAGGCTTATCTTTTTCTTTTTTGGCAACTAGTTTCTGTTTAGGAAGGAGTAAATCTGGAGAGGACCAAACAGCAAACCCTTGGCCCCTGTTTTTAGGACTTGGAGATTTCAAGCAGATTTGGGATTTACCCCGTAATGGATTTTGTAGGTGGTTCTGTTTCTGACCTGCAAAAGGGAGGAAAAACAGAACAAGGATTTCTTGGGCTTGTGTACACTACATGTCCCTGTTAAACAGATTTCTAGTTTGGAAAAAACCCTGGTGTGCACAGTGTGGATATGGGAAAGCATCCAGACAGAGGAAAGCATGGGCTGGGTTAGATCCCAGAGCCCCAGGTATAAAGAAAATTACTCCAAAGCAATGAAAGCACAACCCAGGAAAGGCAAGCTCCTGTCTAAGACTGATGCTGCTGACCCTCCCCTCGTGCTCTCCCCCTGCCCTTGCAGTGCTTTGCCTCACCTAATGGTGCACGTTTCTCTTCTTGCTCAGTGGCAAATTTGACAGCACACACCCCCTATGAACTTTCTGCTTGGGCTAAGACGGAGCTGGGTGACAGCCCTCTGTCTTTTGTGCATGTGGTGACCAGTGGGACAAGACCTGCATCCCCAAGCCTCAAAGCCAAGGCCATCAACCAGACAGCAGTGGAGTGCAGCTGGACTGGACCCAGGAATGTTGTAAGGCACCAACTCTTTTCTCACTAGCCATGGTGGTGGTTAGCTCAGATCCTCAAAACACTCTCCAAATCTTAAATTTGGATTAAATGGGATTATTCTGTTGGCACTGAATTCCAAAGCCTTGAAAATTTTATTGCTCAAAAATGAGGGAAAGCTCCTGCTGCCCTTTAAACAGGAGCAAAGAAAGGCTTCTTGTCTGTTTGTTCAGTGCAGTGGAGAAGTGGCTTAAATACAGAGAGCTCAATGCTCCAGCAGTCTTTGGGTTGACTGCTGTGTTATCTGAGCTGAGCCCAGGATTTTCAGGTGGGGAGCGCAGAGACAAGTGGGCAGATTGAACCTGAACTTGGGCAAGAGGGAGGGAAAAGCAGGAAAAAGGGTCTTTGCTTTGTGTCCCTAAAAAGCGAGCAGTGATGCTCTGGGCTGTGCATCCAGACAGAGAAAAGCAAAGGCTGGGTTAGATCCCAGAGCCCCAGGCACAAAGAAAATTGTTGTGGTTTTCCTCCACAGGTCTATGGGGTCTTCTATGCCACATCCTTCCTGGAGCTGTACAGGAGCCCTCACAACACCACCACGGCCTCCCACAACATCACGGTGCTGGTGCAGCGGGACGAGCAGTACCTGTTCCTGGTAGGCTCCCTTCCTGCTCCCCCCTGGAGCTGCACTGGGGGCTGTGGCTACGTGAAGGCACAGTTCTAATCCCCTTCCAGGTCCGGGTGATGTCTCCCTACCAAGGGCCACCCTCTGACTACGTGGTGGTGAAGATGATCCCCGACAACCGGCTGCCCCCGCGGCACCTCCACTCCGTGCACACCGGCAAGACCTTTGCTGTCATCAAGTGGGAATCACCCTATGATTCACCTGACCAGGACATGGTAATGCCTCACAGAGCCCTCTCCTGCCCCTTTGCATGCAAACCCCTAGCTCAAAGGCTGATCCCTGCCCTGCTGCTGATGGAGAAATCTGAATTTAGGCCTGCCCTCCCTGTAAACAGTCATCATCAAAGTGCTGACACCTCCAGGACCCTCATTCTTATCAGCCCAGGACTGTGATATTCATTTAAAAAGAGTCAGGTCTGGGATATCTGTTGCTGACAGAGACTGAAAACACCCGTGGGCGTGTGCTAAAACACCTTTCTGGGCTTTGGCTTTGCCCAGGAGGGTAAAGCTGGGCTGGGGCAGTGCCTCCAGCTCCAGCCCCAACAAAGCCCAGTTGTATTTTCTGGCACGCTGGTTTATGGCCAGGTCTCACTCCACCGAGGCCGAGTCATTTTCCCAGCAAGCTTCTCCCTCCCATTCTGGTCCAGAGGCTTCAACAGCAAAGGTTTGAAGGCATAAATCTTCCCAGCAGAACTGGAAACCTTGGCAGGGCAGGAGTTCTCATTGAATGCTTGTGATTCACTGAGAAATACAACCTGAGGTTTTCCTCCTGCCCTCATCTTGTTCCAGTAACTGCATTTTCTGTATCAGTAAACACTGATCTCGGGCAGGGATCCAGCAAGAGGCTTGGAATCTCACTTTCTAGGCTTTCTGTAAAGGACAGGAGTGGCTTAAATCAAATTTTGCCCCCCTGTCTAATGTCCTACCACTGTATGAGGTTGCTGGCAAGTCTGCAGGAAAGTGAGATGTTGCCCTGTGTGTGCCTTTCCTCCCCCTCCAGTTATATGCTGTGGCAGTTAAAGATTTAGTCAGAAAAACAGATAAAATCTACAAAGTGAAAACCAGGAACAGCACGGTGGAATACACCATCAAGAAGCTGGAACCAGGAGGGAAATACCACGTGATTGTTCAGCTGGGAAACATGAGCAAAGAGTCCAGCATGAAGATCAACACAGGTAAGGGACCCATCCCACCCCTGTGCTGCCTGGATGTGTCTGCATCACTTAGTCCTCTCCCACAGCCAAAGCCCAGCTCTGAGAGGCTTCTCTGGAGCTCCCAGGGAAGGTGATTAAACCCCCAAACAACAGGAGTGGAGAGGAAGCCTCTCCAATGGTGTGCAGGGAGTTTTCCTCCTGCCAAATGGGGATGGGAAAGGCACCAGTTTGGCTGGCTGTGTGCACACCATCAAGCACCACTGTGGTCCAGCCATAAAAACTCACTGACAAACTCCTACCAGTTTACACACCACAAAATCCCTTTTGCAAGCAGGGTGTTGTGCTGACCCCTAAAAACCACTGAGTTTCAGCAGTGACCACGCTGCTGTGAAAGGAAAGTGTCACCAGTGTTACAACTGCCACTCTCTCCTCGTTTGCAGTTCCACTGTCTGCACCAGATGCCTTAAAAATCATAACAGAAAACGACCATATTCTGCTTTTTTGGAAGAGTTTGGCATTGAAGGAAAGTAATTTCAATGAAAGCCGGGTAAGTTGTGCTGTCTCTCCTGTCCTACAGAGAGTGTTCCAGAAAAACCTAGAGCAGAGTCACTGCAAGGTTCCTTTCACAGGCTGTTTAAAATCCACCTCAGTGTCCTTCATGAGCCCTCTGTGCAGAGCTCACTTATATTCCTGTCACGACTCAGGCACCAAAGCTGATAGATCCAATCGGTCACCTTTTGGGAACATGATTATCCTCTTAGAAAAGGACAATTGTGTGGAAGGACAGGGAATAGGACACTGCCCTGCTGGCTGGGAGCGTGTTGGTGGTGTCTGAGAAATGTCATTATTTAGACTTTGATAGAAAATCTGTGAATGTTGTCTGTGAGGACTTGGGGAGGAGGCAAACTGTGCCAACAAAGCCATCACCCTTCTGGGCTCTGTTTTGGGTGGTCTGGGGTGGGTGCTAAGAATGGAGTGAACCTGACAGACCAAAACAGAATCACAGAATCGTTAAGGTTGGAAAAGATCTCCAAGGTCACCCAGTCCAAGCTGTGCCCCATCCCCACCTTGTCCCCCAGCCCAGAGCACTGAGTGCCATGTCCAGCCATTCCCTGAGCACCTCCAGGGATGGGGACTCCACCACCTCCCTGAGCAGTGCCTTCCAATGCTTAACAACCCTTTCCAAGAAGAAATTCTTCCTGATGTCCAACCTGAATCTCCCTGGGCACAGCTTGAGGCTATTTCCTCTCATCCTGTCACTAGTTACTTGGGAGAAGGGAGACCTCTCCTCCCTGAATTGGCCAAGGTCAAGGCACAATTCCTGGAGGAGGCTCCACATTGCTTTCTCCCAGCTGGCAGCCCAACAGATTAAATCCAACCCAGATCCAGGAGGAAAAACAACTTTCAAAGCCCTTTTGGAAGGCGCAGACCTGCCCTCTGCAGCCGACTGATTTGGGGTTTGCGTCTCCCTCAGGGCTACGAGATCCACATGTTTGACAGCCTGATGAACATCACAGCTTATCTGGGCAACACCACAGAGAACTTCTTCAAGGTGTCCAACCTGAAGATAGGTCACAACTATTCATTCAGTGTCCAGGCCAGGTGCCTCTACAGCGGGCAGATGTGTGGGGAGCCGGCCACGCTCCTCTACGACGAGCTGGGAACGGGTGAGTCCCCAGCTTTTCACACACCCTCCTCAACAAAGACTCACGAAAGCCTCACAGCCTCAGGGATGTGAGCCCCACACACCAGAGATGGGCTGTGGGTACAAGACAGCACTTCCTTCCCTCCCTCCCCACAGGTGAAGACTCCTCTGCCGCGAAGTCCGGCGGATCCACGGACGTCGCTGCCATCGTGGTGCCGGTGCTGTTCCTGCTGCTGGTGACCCTGGGCATTGGCTTTGTGGTGCTGTACATGAGGCACAGGAGGCTGCAGAACAGCTTCACTGCCTTTGCCAACAGCCACTACAGCTCCCGCCTCGGCTCGGCCATATTCTCCTCGGGAGATGATTTAGGTACGTGGCCCTTGGTGTCCTGGGATGGATTTGGGGACAGCCCTGAGGGACATGACATCCTTGGTGTCATGGAATGGATTTGGGGACAGCCCTGAGGGACATGACATCCTTGGTGTCATGGAATGGATTTGAGGGCAGCCCTGAGGGACATGAATCCCTTGGTGTCCTGGGATGGATTTGGGGACAGCCTTAGGGACATGACATCCCTTGGTGTCCTGGGATGGATTTG